GGTTCTTGTGAGGATTTAATGAGTTAGTGCATCCTTCTTGGCACACGGTGGACACTTGGTAACTGGTAGTAAAGGTGGGTTTGCTAGGGTGCTAATATTTGGAAAGGGAGGGACCCTATCAGGGTGCCATAAGATCCTACATTTTGGTAAGATTTGCAAAAGTAAGATATTTTTATATTTTGTCTTAAAGAGTCCTCTCCAATTGTGTAAGTTTCAGGCCCCAAACCTGAATTTAAGTGGCAGCTATAGGTATTTTTACTAGGAGTGACCCTTGGTCCTCTGAGGATTAAAAGATTTCTAAAGCTGCTCTCTGGCTCCTGGGCCTAAGACAGAGGTGGAGAAAGGAGGGTGAGTGGTGGTGGGGCTTGAGGCTGAGGCAGAGGCACTTACTCCTCCCTGTGGCCCCTGTAGTGATGGATGTCACGCTCCGCTAGGACAGCCCTCTTCACAAACATCGCCAGGGCACTCCAGCTGGCCAGGATGATGGCCAGTTCCAGAAGATTCCACTTGCTGCAGAAATAGCACCATTTCTGCTTCCTCATGAGCTTGCCCTGGGAAAGGAGCAGGAGGTTCTGCCAAAGGTTGTGGCCAGTACCCACCCCAGCCCCCTACCCCCACACATATGACTGCTCCCTATATTGTCCAGGATGACCTACCGGCAGGAGGTTATGGGGTCCTGGGGAGCCTTCCCACAGCCCTGGCCCAGAGCCCCTAGGTCCTCTCCCCAACCTGTGTACACACCCCATCTGCTTCCAACTGCAGAATTTGAGGGTATCACACATCAAAACAACCCTGTGCATGTCTTAGCCCCCCTGTCTTCCCTTCCTCTCCGTGTTGGTTCTAATGTTGGTTGCATTTGCCTCCTCCTACTTACTCTTGAAGAAGGCCTTATGCTGGCTGGTAAGAGGTTAAATTCACCTCCATTACAAGGGGATAGAGAGGGGACAGATTTTAAAATCTGCTCAAGCAGCATTTTGAGAGAGATTTAAGGATTTTGGAGATACTTTCTGAAGCTGCTGCAGAAAGTCTAAGGTAAACCAAGAGGAGAGGAAAGAGGTGTGGCGGTGGGTGGTAAGCAGGCCTTCTATGATGTTCTTAGAGAGGTGCAAGTAAAGGACTGGAATGGCTTTCTGAGAACTCTTAGATGTTGAGCATGAATTGGCAGTGCCCAGAGACCATGTGGGGGCTGGCTTTATGGGCTAATGTTATGACATAGGGGTTGAGTGTGAAGGTCTGGGGTCAGACTCTCTGGGTTTAAATCCTGACCTTGGATAAACTACTTAATGTCTCTGGACTTTAGTGTCCTGCTGTGTGACATGTAGTCAATAGGATCTTTCTCCTGGTGGTGTTAAAGGAGAAAGTCCATGTCAGGTTCTTAGTACAATACTTTCCGCTTAGTAAGCACTCAAAGTATCAACATTACTATAAAGAAGTTGTTGGAGCAGGGAATGGAGGGCCAAGATCTCCATCTGGATTTGTATTTTGCTGGGGTTGGGTGGGGGGGTGTTCCTATAATCAGCTTCAGATGAGTTCCCAGCATCCTCAAACCTTCCTCATTACCAACTTCTGCAACTTCCTTGTACAACCTGGTGGTAGAGATGACAAATGAGATTTTTCCTATTCCGCAGGGACCACAGGTGAGAACAAAAAATGCCAAGAACACCTACAATCTAAGTTCAGAGATGTCCCAGTTATGAAGGCAGTGACCTTCTCCCAGGGCTCTGTGGAAGGTCTCTGTTCAGCAGGAATAGGATCATTGCTCCTCCCCTTCCCCACCCAGGAAGCACCATCCTTGAGTTCTTAATTCCTGGGTGGTGCTGATGTTGAGCCTCCCCATGCCCAAGGCTATGCACAGTCAGCTGGATCAGCTACCAAGACCCAGAGGGATCTCAAGACGAGGAGGAGTCTTTCCTTCCCCCAGGGAAGAGGACAGGGGTGGGAGAAGGAACAGGGCACACCTCCACCTCCACCCAGGCCCATGGAGCCACAAATCCACCCTTACCTGCACCACCATGTAGTAGAGGAGGAAGAGGAAGTAGAGAACCTCTGCTGCCACCACGAAGGGGTGCCAGCCATCGGTGAAGGGGTACAGGCGGAGGCTCTGGAGGTTCGCATGTGCAAAAAAAGTTCCTGGGAAGCAAACCGTGTTCTGCTCACCCTGTCACCTTCCCACTTAGAGCCACCACTTCTGACTCTAAAGCCATCTGGTCATCTAACTCAAACGCAAACCCTTTTAGTATGACTGACCAGGGAAGAAGAGAATATAAAGGTCCTTCAGACCCAAAGACCCAAGGAACTGGATGTGGACACATGGCAGACACCAAAGGCAATGAAGGTATCAGAAGGGAGACAGGAGCTACAATGGCAGATTTGCGCCCTAACCTCTGCCTGTGGTATTGGTCTGCCATTTGTGTCTCCAGCCAAAGCACATCCACCCACTTAACACCAGTCCACTTTAAGTTGGATCACTTAAAACCATTTTGCCTAAGGGCAGTTCACCGAAGATCAATTCATCTAATGATTGACATGCCCAATTCAACTTCCTTTTGAATTGTTTTTCATCTGCTTGCCCATCTTTTCCTTTTTCATACTTTTCTTTTTTGTTTTGTTTTTGTTTCTTGCATTGTAATGATTTTCTTTTTTTGCAATAACATTTTAAACCAATTTGACTAATAAGGCTAATGCCCATGAAGACAAAACCAACCCCAAGGAAGGCAAAGCGAAGAGATAGAAACGTTCTAAGTCTTTGCTGATATCAGAAAGCTGCTGAATCCACCAGGCCTGAAACCTACACCACACTTTTTATTTGTAGAAATATATAATAGGATGTGGTTTTGGACAAGTGCCTTAAGAGGTCCATAAAAAGCCAAAGAGATGGCAAAAAGAAATAGGAGAACAAAAGAGATACAAGTAAACCTCCAAAAAGGATTTGATAGAAACTATTGACAGAGGGGGATGGTAATGGAAGTTGAAGGCCTTTTAGTTTTCCTCTTACACAGTTCTGAAATAAAAACAAACTAACAAAAAACACGTACTACTTTTATAATAAAAAATGTAATTTAAAAATTTAAAAATGCTTAGTTTTTAGAGATGAAGTCGAATTTTTGGGAAATTGATCATTAACCAAACAGGCGTTAGGTTAATGTTCTTTGCAGATTGTGATTAGCATTTTTAAAAGAGTGGGATGGGGAGAAAGAAATAGAATAGTACAGAAAATAGCAGAGTACGTTACATGTAGATAAGATAAATATTATTTTTGAAACTTGTTTCAGTGTTGTGTGTGTTTATGTGGGGTGGAAGGTTGAGTTATGATATAAAACATACTTGTACTGTAAATTGAGGTCGAATTTGTAAAATGTTGTTTTAGGCCAAGTGATCTGTTACCTGGTCACCCTCCTCCCCAGCCCTCGCTGCCAGCTCCTACTCCTCAGTCCCCACCCCAACAGAGAGAGAACCTCAGGAATAGGAGATAGATAAGCTGCCTTTAGACCCCAGCTTGGTTTCCTCCAGGTAATTTAGAAGACAAAGCCAGAGAGAAAGAGGGGAGCAGCTGGGAGTAAGGTTGGAGTGACTCTAATGCCTTGCCTTTGGGTGCCCAGGGATGCAGGGAGAGCCAAGACCCACTCCCAACCTTCGCAAACAACTATTTGCCATGGAACTCTGGCCCTGGGGCTGTCGGGCCCAGCTAGGTCAGGAGATCCTAGCCCAGAGGGAATGGGTGTCTATGTTCTGGAACTCTGCACATGGATTCACAAACAAGGCTGCCCACCCAGGGCGTTGGTCTCCAGGGTCAAAGTGACGATGCAGAACAGGTTGACATTGGCATTGTAGACAGTGAACTCCACAAACAGAGCTCTGGTCAGGGTGTCCAACCAGGTGTTGTCGAAGAGATACCGGAGAATTCTGCAGGAAGAGGGATGTTTAGGGGTATCTCCATCCTAAAGTGGCTCCCTGCTGGCTTCCCGTCTAAACTCCCTCAACCTGTAGTCTGCACCCTGGGCCACAGGGCCTTGGGGCTGCTTCTGGTAGTGTTATAATTTACTAGCCCAAGGTGCAGTATGGTCTCCTAGTCATTAGAGCAGAGATTGTCAAAGTGTGGCCCTGGACCAGCATTATCAGCACCAAATGGGAACTTGTTAGAAGTGCACACCTACTGAGTCAGAAAGTCTTGGGGTGGGGCCTGGTTTTGTTTTCTTTTTTTAACAAAATTTAATAATTATCTTCACACAAACTAGAAGAGGTGCAGTCAAACATGTATAAAAAGAAGAGTCGAATAACATACCATTAAAATTAGATTTTTAAAATTGAGATATAATTCATACACCATAAAATTAATCATTTTAAAGTGTATAATTTAGTGGTTTTTAGTATAATCACAAGGTTGTGTAACCATCACTACTATCTAATTCCAGAACATTTTTTATCACCCTCAAAAAGAAACCCCATACTCATTAGTGGTTACTCCCTTTTCCCCTCTCCTCCAACGCCCTGGCAACCATTAATCTACTTTCTGTCTCTATGAATTTGCCTAGTCTGGACATTTCATATAAGTGGAATCATCCAATACGTGATCTTTTGTGTTTTCTTTCACTTAGCATAATGTTTTCAAGATTCATCCACATCGTAACATGTATAAGTACTTCATTCCTTTTTATGGCTGAGTAATGGCGTAGTGGTTAAGAGCTATGGCTGCTAACTAAAAGATCGGCAGTTCAAACCCACCAGCCACTCTGTGGGAGAAAGATGTGGCAGTCTGATTCTGTAGAGATTACAGCCTTGGAAACCCTATGGGGCAGTTCTACTCTGTCCTACAGGGTCATGCTATGAGTTGGAACTAACTCAATGGCAATTTTTTTTTTAAATATTCCATTGTATGGGTATACTATACTTTATTTATCCATTCATAAGTTGATGGGCACTTGGGTTGTTTCCACTTTTTGGCTATTCTTGATAATGCTGCCATGAACATTTGTGTACAAGTTTTTGTATGGACATATATGTTTTCATTTCTCTTGGGTATATACTAGGAGTGGGATTTCTGGGTAATATAGTAGAATATTACTTTGAGTAATGATGGGCTTATTTAAAATATGCCCTCTCCCAGCAGGTCTGCATCATGCCTGGTACACAGACTCAGAGAGAGGATTTTCAGTCTTTCCAAGCGACAGGAAAAACATTTCTTATTCCAAAATAGAATTTTCCAGGCCATTCCTGGCCTGTTGTTAACCCCAAGGGACCCCTGCCAGTTACTTTTCTTTGAGATTTATTACCTGTGTCCATAGGAAGGGTAGGGGGCCCCATCATTACAAACAACTTCAGTGCTATAATAATACACTGGAGGAAACAGGTTCCCAGAGGATCACTAACTGGCCTGGGTTTACACAGTTAAAAACAGCAGTGCCAGAGTTTAAAATCTAGAGCTGTCTGACTCTAGAGCCTGTTAGGAGAGTGAGTCCACCATGGGACCTGAGTGTCCATGCACATTCTTGCTGGATATGCCAAGAATGCAAGGCCCTGGCTGCTCTTTAGCCAGGCCTTTTTTTTTTTTTTTTTTTTAATATTTTATTGTACTTCAGGTGAAGGCTTACAGAATAGTTTCTCATGTAACAGTAACACACATGCTGTTTTATGACATTGGTTAACAACCCCACAACATTTTAACCCTCTAAATTCTCAACTTTTCTTTTTTTTTTTTTTTTGGGGAAAATACACATAGCCAAAGATACGCCATTTCAAAAATTTTTTTTACATGCACATTTAAGTGACATTGACTACGCTCTTCTAATTGTGCTGTTATTCTCACTTAAGATGAAGGCTTACAGGACAAAATAGTTAGCCAGGCCATTTTTAACAGCCGTTTTTGTAGTGAGCAACCTTGAGGGATGCTGGAATAAAGAGCAGGCTTGTTTCCACTTAACTATAAAAGCAGTGACTCCCACAAGCTCAGTGTTCCTCTCCTGTAATGCAAACCACTGCACATACAGGCTTCTATCATGGCCCTTTGTGGTGAACTGATGAAAACCAACTTGAAGCTCTGGCTACTGCTTTTGCTGTGAGTAATAAAATCCTTTGTCTCTGACCCAGGAGTCTTGTGTCTTCCAATCCATTAAATGGTAACACGATAGCTTGTTAGCTTGCAAGAAGGGTAAAATTTCAGATGCTCAGAGCCTTGACCTCTTGCCTCGTGATGGACTGCTTTGTGTGATAGTGAGCTCCCTTTCCGTGGACTGGCTCCAGCAAAAGCTGAACAGCCACCAAAATAAATGCTAGAGAAGAACTTCCCTCTGACTCAGGAAACTCTACAGTTTCCAGGTACTTGAAAATATATCTGAATGATTCTGAATTTCCCAGGCTCCCACAGTGACATGAATGAGCTTGGCTTAGCCCTGTTGTGGAGATACTCCCTCTGATCAGACCTGGATTATCCCAAATGTCTTTACTCTCTTGCCAAAAAATCAAGTCAGCCTTACCTTGAAGCACTTTGGCGATCAGTCCCCAGGGAGACTGTGTAGCCTCCTCCGCCATACACAGTGAGTTTGCCCCAGATGGGATAACCTCGGCGCTGGCTCTGGCTCTGGTACTGCCAAGCCTGGGGAAAGCCATTGCTGCTATTGGGGGTGGAGGCGTTCCAGCCTTCCCCATAGTCTGACAGGTCTTCAACATCCAGGGAATATGGTGCCCGGCAGCCATCAAGAGAAGCCTGCAGCTGCTCAGCAAGAGGGCAAGAGCTTTCCCGGACCCTCACTTGGCGAATCTGGGCACTGCCAACCAGCTTGGAGTTCCCATCGGTGATAAAGCCTAAAGATGAAAACAGTGGGTAAAACTATCAAAATCATCTTTAGGCATGCCAAGTTCCTTGCTAATGTGAACTTCAGTGTACCTATTACAGAGACAGCCAAGAGAAGTTTATGGCTAACCACAGACTACATTTAACCAAATGACCTCACTGTCTCCCCACCTGGGAACTATTCTACTTCCTGCATAACTTCTCTTGGGTAGTGGCACTGCTACCACCCAGTCACCCAGTCATCAACCTCAAGATCACTGATGCCGTTTTCCCTCAATTCCCCACATCTAAGTCGTCACCAAGTCCCACCAATTCTACTTCTTCAATGTTTTATGCATCTCTTCTCCCCATCACCACTGCCCCTTGTCCCTGGATCAGCCCCATCATCCTTCTAAACATTCTAACTTGCCCACTGTTATGGATTGAATTGTGTCCCCAAAAAATATGTGTTATAATCCCATTTGGGAATAGGGTTTTCTTTGTTATGTTAATGGGTCAATATTAGTGTAGGTTGTATCTGGAGTCAATCTCTTCTGAGATATAAAAAGCACAGTTGGGAGAAGATAAATGCCATGCCATATGAAGATCACCAAGGAGCCAAGGGGTGCCAGGCCTACAGATGCTAAAAGGAGATAAGGACCTTCCCCTAGAGCCAACAGAGAAAGAACACATTCCCCTAGAGCTGGTGCCCTAAATTTGGACTTCTAGCCTCCTAAACTGTGGGAAAATAAATTTCTGTTTGTTAAAGCCACCCACTTGTGGTATTTCTGTTATAGCAGCACTAGATAAGTAAGACACCCAACCTCTAATCCAAGGTCCACATGCTTCCAGAGAGATCCTTTTTATACTACAGATTTGATTATGTTGCTCCCTCACATTGAAACCTCCAGTGATTCCTCATTTCCTTGAGGATAAAATGTGAACTTCCAAGGTCCTTCATGATCTGGTCCCAGTTTGTCTCTCCTGCTTTGTTTCTCCCCAGTCCTTAGCTCTCACCCTACACAGCAGCCAGACCCAGCTCTTTGTAGTTCATGAACGTGCCGTGGTGTTTCAGCCTCCTTGCCTTTTCTCATGTTGTTCCTTCTGTCTGGCAGTCCACTTTTGCTTGGCTGATTCATGCTCAGTTATCCTCTGTTTAGGAAGTCCTGCTCTCTGCATTGAGGGAGGTTAGGGGGTCCCTCCCTTGTGCATGCATAGCCTTTTGAGGGTCTCTCCTTCAAAGCATGGTCCTGAGGTTACTGGTTTACTTATCAGGCTGATGTTGACAGTGACCCACAATTGCTCCTAGAAAGGAGTATGCACAAGGGGGCTGACATAAGAATCCCAGGGCTAGGGGACTGTACCTGGGTGGTGACTGTACAGGTTGCTTACAAGGGTGGTGTTGGCCCATGTGAAGAACTGCTGGAAGCTCAGCACATCGGAAAAGCCTTGAGTGAAGCTGTGCTGAAGGTGTCTGTTGAAGTGGTAGGCGCTGGGGTCTCTCTGTCCATAGGCCACCAGTAGCAGCATCCACAAGAAGCCCAGGTATGCTGGCAAGGGAGGCACAGCCTTGGTCAGACAGGATCCTCGACTCCCACCAAGGCTGTGAGTCCAGGGCAGGAAATGGAATGGCCATGGGCTCAGGACAGTCAAGGTCTTGTAGACCAGCCACTCGCCCACTGTGGTGGTTAATTTTATGTGTCACCTTGGCTGGGCTATTTATGGTCCCCAGTTGTTTGGTCAAATACTAGTCTAGTTGCTGTTATGAAGTAGTTACATGTGATGAAGTTAGCTGGCCTTAGGTAAAGCAGATTTCCTTCCATAATGTGGGTGGGCCTCAACTAATCAGTTGCAGGCCTTAAGAGCAAAAAGGGAGTTTTCCATAAAGTGTAGTCTGTGTCCAGGCTATAGACTGACATGTCGCCAGAGCTCTTCACTCCACCTTGTCACCTGACTTACTGATTTTGGACTTGCCAGCCCCTACAATTACATGAGCCAATTCCTTAAAAAGAAATCTCTCTCTCTGTGTATATATATGTGTGTGTGTGTGTGTGTGTGTGTGTGTGTGTGTGTGTCTATATATGTGTGTGTCTCTCTGTGTGTATGCGTGCTCTTTCTCTAGAGAACCCTAAGATACTGCCTCTGGTGACAATGGAACCAGTCCTTATAGAGGCAGCAGAGAGGAGTAAAGTCCATAGACCATGGAGCCTCCTGCCTGGGTTCAAATCCTACCTCTGCCACTTCCTATCTGTGTATCCTCAGCAAGTGATTTAACTTCTCCATGCCTCACTTTCCTCATCTGTAAAATGGAGATAATAATTCTATTACATGGGGTGGTGATGAGGGGTTCAATGAATTAATATAATGCAGCTAAAACAGTGCTTGCACAGAGTACATGCTATATAAATGTTTGTTAGGTAGATTTTTTTTTTAAATGGGAGAGCTGATGCATTCCAGTGCTGACGATACAGCAATGAAGAAGACAGATTTATTCCCTGCCTCATGGAGCTCACCTGTCTTATAGGAGACAGGTGAGTGTGATGTAAGGGGCCCGTTAGGTGCAGAGATTTAGTTTAAGAGACCCAGTGGCAGAATCATGTGTGTGTGTAGGGGTGGGTGCAGATTCCTACTGAACTAGAATCTCTGGGCCAGGGTGTGGGAATCTGTGTTCCGAGGAACCGCTCCCCAGTTGATTTGGATGGACACCATAGTGGGCACTGTGGGGCTCTACCCGCATCTCCTCAACACTGTTCATTCATATGCGTGCTACTCCCCTCTTCTGTAAGTGCCCAGGACTCTCTGCTTGAGACTTACTCTGGCCACAGGAGCGTGCTCAGGTGGGACAGGCTAGGAGTGCTGCAGAGTCAGTGTCCTGGCGCACCCTCCACCAGTGACCTGGTGGTGAATGCCCAGCTTTCTTACCTCTTGGTAGAACAACTCAGAGGCGTGGACTATATACTATCGCAAGGTCCCCGGTAGGACTGCGCCCCAGTTGCCCACAGTGGAGTCTACTATTAAACACACCTGCTATTGGCTTTCTTCTCTTTGCTGTTACACTTTCCCCATGCCCTCCCAGGGCTTCCTGGAATCATCTCCCAAACAAACTACTTGCTTCCAAATCTGCTTCTGGGGGAACCCAGACTAGGACACAGACTGAGGTTTGAAAGCTCCTGGCCAGAGGATCGGGGAAGCCTCTCTGAAGACACAGCCTTTGGGCTGAGATTTAAGGAATAAGAGGACATTAGCCAGAAGAAAAAGTGAGGAGGAGGGGTGAGTTTCAGGCAGATGAGATGAACAGTCTTGTTAAAGGCTGTGTGTTGGGAGAAGGCACCGTGTCCTAGGAGCTGCAGACTCCAGTATGACCGAGTGCAGAGCAACAGGGTCCAGAAGCACCTTGAGGTGGGTGGGGCCACCATAAGGAGCTTGAGCTTTATCCCAAGGCCCATGGGGAGCCACAGCAGGACATTAAGTGTAGGGGAAAAGCTGGGGCAAGTTGTCATCTAGGGAAACTGAGGCCCAGAAGCAGCATGGGACTTATCAAAGATTACATCTTAAGTCACTGTTCAAGTCTGTTTGGGGAACCAGGGAATTGGAATATCATCAATAAGCTGCCTACCCAAGATCTCTCTGATTAGGGCAAATGCTCTCTGTTCCTTGAGGTGGGTGATTTTCATCTTCTCAACATCAGTGGTAAGAGGTGGCTGGTAGATGTCCCTTCTGCTGTTTCTTTGTGCTCGGAACAAGGCATAGGGATCTGTGAAAAAAAGAACATGAGGACAGTCCCCAAATGGTTGGTAAAAACCAGGCTCTACTTTGGTAACTATAGATACCTCCTTCTCTAGGAACAATGGGCTCTGCCATTCGTCCTCCTTGGGAGCCATTTCCCAAGTTTACCCTCCTGCCCTTGCCCATACTATCCCAAAGCTCAGAATTCCATTCCTCCTTCTCCATTTGGAGAATTCTCCTCATACTGAAAGCACAAATGCCCTCCCCTCCTTGAGGTCTTCCCTGACTCCTGGACACTGCCTTCTCTGTGTTCCCTGGACTCTGAGATGGCCCCCAATACTTCTGAAACTTTGATGGACAGAAAAAGGAGGATAACTAATATCTCAAAGTCCTGTCATGTCTACCCCCAAGTATCTTCTTTTTCAAACCACTTTACTGAGATATAGTTTACATAAAATTCACACATTGTAAGTGTAATTCAAAGATTTTAGTAAATTTATAGAGATGTGCAACCATTACCATGATGCAGTTTTAGAACATTTTTTATCATCCCAAAAGTTTCCCTCTTATCCCTTTGAAGTCAATCCCCACTCCCACTTCCAGCCCCAGGCAACCACAGATCTATTTTCTGTCTCTATAGATTTGCTTTTTCTGGATATTTCATACAAATGGAATCATACAGTATGTAGTCTCTGTATATACGTTTCAGGCTTCTTTCACTTAGCTTAGCATAATGTTCTAGGATTCATCCATGTTGTTGCACGTATCAGTAGTTTATTCTTTTTATTGTTAAGTAGTATTGCATTGTATGGATATACCATATTTTGTTTATCTATTCACCAGTTGATGGACATTTGGATTGTTCCTTGTTTGGGCCATTATGAATAAGGCTGCTATGAAAGTTCATGGACAGGTCTTTGTGCGGACGTATGTTTTCATATCTCTTGGGTAGATACCTGAGAGTGGCCAAACATCTTCTGGCTATTACAAATAAAGCTGCTATGAACATTCATGTTCAAGTTCCTACATGAAAATAAGTCTCTCTTTCTTCTGGTATAAATGTCCATAAGTGCATGTTCTCTGTCATATGGTAAGTCCATTTTTAGTTTTAAAAGGTACTGCCAAACTATTTTCCAGAGTACTTGTACTGTTTTACATTTCCACAAGCAATGCACGAGTTATTTAGTTTCTCCACATTTGGCGTTATCATTGTTTTTCACTTTAGCCATTCTGATAGGCATGTAGTGACCCAACTATCTTTTGGGTCCACCTCCACCACCACTACCCATCATCTATTGCCTGGACCATCACAATAGCTTCCTTACCGGCCTCCCCACTTTCACTTCTGGTTTCCATAGAACAGCCACAGTAATCCTTCTAAAACTGCAGAACAGATCATGCCACTCTCCTATTTAAAACTCTCCCAAACCCCAGCATTACACTAGGCCCTACGGGGCAAGGCCCTGCCTGATCTACTCCCCACCCACCTCTCTAACCTCATCTTGAACCATTCTCCCTGCATGGTCCTCTCACCATACTCCAGCCACACTGTCAATAATTCCTATAACAAGACAAGTTCTGTCTTGCCTAGGACCTTTGCACATGTCCAGTGTGCAATCCTTTCCTTCCCCCAGCTTAGCTACCACCTCAGCAGAGAGGTCCTGTACTCGATTTTTCTTTCCATCTTGTTCTAATCACGGTTCTCACTTATATGTCTATTTGTGTGTTTACTTGTTTAATGTCATTTCCCCAAATGGACTGTTCACTCTGAGGACAGAGACCTGTTCCATCAAACCAGTGATGTTCCCAAGTGAGCACGGTGCCTGGCACACAGTAACCAGCCCCTATATAGTTTCCAAAACAGTAACAGAAGGAATATTTCATTGTTCTGGAGGCCGGTGTATCTTTGGAGAAAAATTTCTCTTTTGTCTTGGCAAGATTAAATGGAAGAATGCAGGACCCTGGGGAGGTAGCCACACTGCATAAAGATGTGCCTACTTGGGCTTTTGTTTTTTGTTTGTTTTTATTTTCCCTGAAAATCAAGGTCTCTGCATAGATTATTACAGTATTGACTTTGTTTGTTTGGCACCCTCAGGAGTTTTGGTTGGGAAGTAGGAAATCAGGTTGGGAGGAAGGGGTCTGGTCAGTGGCCTCCAGGAACAGGGGTCAGCAATTTTTTTTCTGTAACAGTCAGATGGTCTCTGTCCAAACTACTTAACTCTGCCATCGTAGCACCAAAGC